TTTTGTAGCTGTCTATTTCTTTATATTCATCTTTTTTCGCGTTTTCTTTATTACCATTGTACTATTGTAGGCCGTATCTAACATTTTTTGTCAAATTTCGCCAAAAAACCGGATACCCCAAAATTAACGTGAGCTGTGCCTTTAAGATAAATCTTCTCTTCGAAAAACCCTAAAAAGAATTTCTAAAAAAGGAATTTATTCACTTGGAGTTTGGTAATGAGATGTATTTTCTGTGCTTCCATAGTTTTTACCACTAATGATTTCCTGTGACAACCATTTTCATTGGAAGACAGAGCAACCTCTATCAGCATTCAATTAAAAATGCTTCGCCCTTGTGCGTGGCGCAATTCTTCTCGTACCAAAAGTACTTTTATAAAACTAGGGCACCGCTTGGGTAAGAGATAATTGGATGACGAACAGCAAATGGTCACCTGACAGAGATTTCATGTTACACAATTGGAAGATTGTTCAGCTGAGAAGGTATAGGAAAAAAGATTTGCCATTGACGTGAGTTCCACTAACTTCTACTTTATTATTTTTCCAATTTTCAATTTCTTTTTTTGTATAACTTGTATCCGTTGACTTTTGTAAATCCATTACTCAAGGCTGCATGGACCGTCTAAAGGTGAATGGTACCTCCCATTCAAAGGACAAATACAGCTTCACCTCTGTACGCCAGGGTGAGTTTTTGAAGTTATAGGGACGCAAGTCTCGAGCAGCGAGACAACTAGCCAGGATATCCTTTCATCGACTATCACGCAGTGCGCATGCATCGGTTCAGCAAAGCAAGAATTCGATAGCGTGGGACAAAAATAAAAGGCAGTCAGTGGCTGTAATTTTTTGGGATTTTGAGCCTCTCATGTTAGACTCGGAGTTGCCACTGCCGTCTGTTTTCATGATATTGTCAAATCCCAGAAAGTGAAGCAGTCGGGAAACATGGACGTTTGCTCGGTGTTATGAATAAAGTACTCTATCGGCAGAGGATGAAGTCTCTATTTCATAGATTTCAAATCTCTGAAGTGGACCCATCAACTTCTTCCCGCAGCTCAGGCTTTCGTTCCAGGGTTTCAAAGACCTTCGTAATGCACCTGTGGGAGCCACTCCCGCAACCTTTGGGCGGCTTATTTTCAAGCAAAAGCGGGATCAGCCAGCGGGGAGGCCGGTACTACTACGGATGTATCATGAACCGAGATGGATAGAGTAGGGGTCCAGCTGTACGTATGCCATCTTAGAAGAATCTTTCGTCAGTACCACCTCTGAGATATGGCAACCATCATTCCAAACCGAGTCCTAAAAATTCTAAGTCTAAATCACATTTCTTCTAAGACGTCGATAATCTCTGAGCAATTGCTTCAAGCCATCGAATCACCTAACCTTAGGAACTTTCTAGCTATCAAAAAACAGAATGGCTTTTAGGAACACAACGTGGAACTACGACGAAAACCTTATTGATAGCAAGGAGAAAATCGAGAAAAAATTAGCTACGTTGTATGATCGTATAGACAAGGACAGAGTCAGGAGCTTAGTCAGAACTGGAATATTTTTGTGAAGGATTTACTCAGCTGTTTCATTTCCTTGTGTCATGTCTTTCATTGAACCAGTTCCGATGTGATTTGAAGAAGATGTTAAAAATATTCATTGCCTTACACGATGTGTAATTTTGATGTATAATATAAATTCTGAAATTATTCTTTCGCTGTTTTGGAACAGAAGCGATTGTTCAATTTCTGAGCGACCGAATTGTTCTTTAAAGCTACATATGTAAGATATTTAAAAATCATGAGAGAAAAGGAGAGCCTCAGCGTATCAACGGCTAGTTCGGTTGATGCCTTATTGCTTTGTGAAATTACAATCGTCAAACCATTGGACGTATCCATTCATGGTAAAGACGAATTCTGAGATTTCTCCCGAGAAAGAAACAGCCTAGATAGGGCATAATAAGGGCTTCGAAATCGACTTAGCCGTACGCACACACCCAAAGATGGACGAGTTTTCACGGTTTGCAGTAGCTGTAGAGGTTGGACTATCCGCACCCGGGTGCCAACGCTGCTTCGAAAAAAAAATTAACGTCGGAAATAATTACACAGATAAAACCACAAATAAGGCTGTAAAGAAAGTCTCAACCGCTTTGACAACTCATTTCCGTTATAATCACTAAACAGATAGTGATAAAATTCTATTCAATATAGGCCCATTTGATGCTACACATTNCTCCGATGCAGTGCCTTCTACCCATGCAAGACTGATATTTGTGGTTACCTTCGTTGCAGTTGACCATGTTTGAACTAAATATTGAAAGTAAAACTGTTTGGGAAGCTATCCACTCTGCAAGTAAATGCGCCTCAAACATCCAAAACACTTCATGGAATTCCACGAACTGCGCTTTGGCAGTAAGAAAGAGAAAGATTAGTCACTGACTTACCTAAGGAGCACAACATGTCGATTGCTCTAATTTGATGACCGTCGAAATTTGGATTTACAGGGTGTCCCAAAATTATGGGCGCCAAGATTCAGAAATCTTTATGGTAGAAATAATTAATCAAATTCACGTTACCTGCTATTAATTAATTGCATAAGAAGTAAAACAGCCACGCGATGACAACAAGAGTGTGCTTCGAAGCGTTTATTGCTCCTTCTCAAACTTGGGTAATTAAACCTCAATCGACCTCAACTCGGATAAGAACCTCAATCGACCTTTAAGAAATGAATGAAGGGAACAATCAGCATCAAAGAAGAGCAATGCAAAAGGGAGTGAAGTGAAGAAGTCGCGAAGCCTGCCCTATGTTTTTCCTAGCCGTTTATATAGGGGCGAGACTTTCTGTAATCGTTATCTGATCATTTCTCTAGGCTTTTCTCAAGGCACAACAAAATCGCATGAGAACATTTTTCGCATATTAGCGTTCCACTTGCTAGATGGAATTCACCACGCAATGGTAGTTAGAAACGGTTTGGAAATCGCGTTCCGCGGTAAGGTTTCCTCGCAGTATGCATGGCTACATGGAACACCCATTATCTTTTAGATGGAATGGAGGAGGCTTATTCAATCCCACTTGCTGACACACGAGAGGCGGAAGGACACTATGAAATTCCTTGGGATTTTTATAATAACTATATATGAGGCTAATGATTCAGAAAAAAAAATATTGAATCAGGGACAAACCAGGAAGAGGTAGGAAGGATGTTTCTAAAGATAGGACTATTGAAATGGTCCGTCTGACAGTCGGCCGGGATCCTTGGTGACCCATCAAACGGAAGTCAACGGGCACGGCTTATCGGAGTTATCGCGATGGAAGAATGTCATGCAGAAGCTTCATTGCCATTCCTATCGTATGCAGAAATTTCGCTTCAATTCCTATCTCAACAGACACTGCAAGGCCAAAAAATGCAGAAAGTCGCAGACCCATTTGAGTGATGACATGCAACCCTTCATCGTTTACTCTAATCAAATTTTTCACGATAAAACCATCCTTCAACAACCAACACGTTCGCGTTCCAGAAAGAAACATCTAGCATCTGCAATCTCTCACAAACAGTTTGCTATAAGAACAGCCAAATGATGTTTTTTGAAGAAGTCAGTGGCAAGGGTTAGGCCACGTGGCTTCTTCGGTGCCGGCATGAAATCGACTAAGATCACCACCAAAAGAGCGTACTGATGGACGTAATAAATCCCCGATCTTACTGCCGCGAGTGGTGCCGACGACAGCTGCCCGGTTTCATTGGTAAAAAGTAAGGGTTATCCTATTTACCAGAACTTGACTCACTTGATTTCCTTGCATGGTCCCTGATTAGAAGAGGACCTGTCGAGTTTGCAGTCCCAGTTCGGAGTCCTAGAAAGCATGACTGAAGAACGGCTGGGAAGAAATGGAGAAGGATACTTGCGTGCCACATGCGATCAGGTCGAAAACGAACTTTGGGCATCTATCCGTGCTGATAGGGGGTATTTTGAAACGCGATTGTAGCGTTTTGTACCAAATGATGTTAACTAACGGGCGTGGAAATCCATCGTCTTTCGCAGCTGGCCCTGTGTTATACATATATGGCGCATACGCGGAAGCGGCAATAATTTTCCTTACAGCCTTATAGTATAAGTAGAATGTAGGTCTTAGGGTATTGGAGATTACGAAAGTCTATCGTAAGCAGGCTATTTCGAAACATCGAACATCGATAGCAGTAACGCCTTAATAACGATTCAATAGCTTTGCGGTAACAGTCGAAAGTGACGTATCATAACGAACGGCAATTTTTTTTTCTGATGAGAGAATTCGTCGCTCTACAATCGGCTAATCTGCACTTGAACTGAACTTTCTTATTTCACTACATTTTCTCATTTCACAACTGGACGATTTTTCTAAGGCTATGTTAATGGTAATGGCGAGTCGGAGGCTGAATTGTTAGGGGTAGGGAATACATCATCCAAAAATTCGGTCTCCATAGGTGTGATGTGTTTCTCCCGGAGTGGCGTTACCCCTAGCGCCATCCGCCTAATGAAATCAAATGTGGATGCAATTATCATACAACTTACAGCTCTTAGTACCTATCGGTTCGTTCTTTTTTTAATGCACCTGACTGGAGATCTTTCTACTTTTTGTTTTGAACGATACTTTCTTTTAATTGATGGCAGGTTGTTAAGTTAATCTGATCGTGAAATTGTAGTTAGCGCACCTAAGTGTGCACCAAATAAATAAATAAATAATCTTGTCTTATCTAAAAACGTAATAAAATAAGTTCAAAACATAAAAAATTGCATGAGAGGGGTTTCGTAATTGACTAAGGCAGCCCTATACAGACCCTATACAAGGAAATCTCTACAACCCCAAAACGTCACTTTCTAATTAGGAACCGCATAATGTCTTCGTTTAAATCAGTTTAGATCGCTATAAGTCGAAGCAGCAGAAACCTACGTGAAGACGTTCGAAGTTGTGGCTTCGGTGGCGGAGCATTAGCTGGTTGTGTTTCAATGGCAGATCGTATGGAGATGGTGACCAGGCGTCGCTCTGCTTACGAGGGCGGAGACTACACTGATGTGGGTGGTGTCAAGGGCAATACTTTCTAAAACTGCTTAAGAATAAACCAAACTCCGGAGACAATATACGGTGGGTAATACGGTTGCGGTAGCAAACTCTCCTACTCTTCACCTTCAGTGATAGGATCACTGTCGCAAGTCAATGTGAGTAGCAGTGATAGTCTGAACAGGGGTGTGGTGCAGTAGGAACGAA